TATATGGAAACAAGTAGGAAACCAAATTAATATTTCTTGTTTATTTTTTATTTTTATTCTTAGAGAATTCAAGTTTAGATGGGAAAAATACTTAAAAATAAGATTCGTGTTGATCTTTTATGAATAGTGGGATTTAGTGATGAAAAACTTAATCAAAAATTGAGAATTTGTTAAGTTGCTCAAATGTACAGACATGATTATAAGGGGTTGTTTGGGATGACCTAAATAAGTGTATTTTTTGTCTTTTTACGAAAAGATGTGTAGAAAAATAAAAAGGTGATGTGATGAAAAAAAGATAAAAAGATAAAAAGATGAATTATTTGAGACTTCCCAAAGTTGACCTAAATGTTCTAGTCATATCGACTTCTTTTTTTATACTAACAAGTGCCACATTAGGTTTGCTGTTATATAGTAAATCCTGAATACATCTTGTACTATTTAGGTCTCGTTAGGGAATATATTTTTTTAGTAATTTTTTGATTTTTTAGTTAAAATGTGATGTAAAAAAAAATTAGTATATTTGTGATAACTTTTTCACTTTTTACGAAAAGCTGTGCAAAAAGTAAAGAGAAAATAAAATCTTTGACTTTTTAATATGAATTGTTGACTTTTTTATTTTTTTAATAACTTTTTGACTTTTTCGCTAAAAGGGACATTTGCCAAACGAGGCCTTAATATATGTATTATTTCTTAGTTACGGCTTCAAACTGTTGAAATTAATATTAGTTGACCAATACATTTTAAAATATGACTGAAACTATACACATGATCATATCTCAATTTTCAATTAACCTTTAAATTTGCATTGTAGGGGACCTTACAAAATTGTTGCTTTGTATTTAAGGGGTACCATAGTTGAAAAAGAAACTCCAAAACAAGACGAATAATAAACTATTATCGTGTTTGTTATTTGTATAATTGATGTTTGGTAGGCCAACCCTTTCTTGTTTTATGTTGACATATATCGAAAATGAAATGAAGGTAAATATATTCTGCATTTTCCTCAAAAAAACAAAAACAAATAGAAATGTGATTGGATGTACTATGTGTAAAGTAATGCCAAAAAGTTGTCATTCTCATAAATGATCCTCAAAATATTGCCTCCCATCTATCAAACAAAATAATAGGTAATAGGAAGAAAAACTCAGATTATTCTCATCTCAACCATTCAACTTGCTTTCATTCATTTCTTCACTCTTTTAAAATTTTTTTTTTGGTACTCATTGAGGTTGTGTTTGGTTTATAAAATCAACAATGCTAGAAGGTCATAATTTTTGTAGCCACAATAACTCAAAACTGTCAAAACGACGTCGTTTTGGCATGTTTTGCATCCAAAACGCTGTCGTTTTGGCAGTTTTGAGCCATTGTGATCACAAAAATTGTGGCCCTCAAACATTTTCCTTATAAAATATGTGAGAGATTTGAAAAGGAAAAAAAATAAAAAGTAGGTAAAGTATAAATGAAATATAATTATATTTCACACCACTTTTCTATTTCTTTTCTAAATTCCTCCCTAACCACTCACTGTCTGAGTAGCACTTTTACTTCATCTAATTTCTCAAAGGATAAATTATAAATACACCTCCTGAGATTTGATTAAAATACGAATTACCTCATGTAGTTTTGAAAATTGATATTTCTAATTTCATAATAAATTATCCATTTTATTATTAAATCTTTAAGTCAATTAACAGTTTTTAATGATGTTAAAAATATATTTCAATTAATAATTTAGGTAATTTTATTATTATTTAAGAGAACAATTATGAATTTCATTTTTTTAGTTAATTATGTTAAATAAAAAATTCTAATAAACAGGTATTTATAATTTTTTAAATTACAAAAAATAATATGTATTTTAAGCAAAATTTAAAATGTGTATTTGTAATTTACCATTTCTCAAAATACTCAAGCGTTGCTTTCAATAGGTGCCATGGGCTTGGCCCAATCATGATGCTCAATATGATAGGAAGGCATGACCTAAGGGGATGTGTAGCAACCCACAACTGATTGACACTAGATGATATGATAATGTCTTACTTAGAAATTCATAAATTTCAAATTAATAAAATAAAATCCTTATTCACACAACCGACTCCTAAGCCAACCAAACGGAATACTTTTCTCCAGTCTTTTATAGAGGACTTGAGCATTCAGCTCAAGTCCAATGATCTAATCCATTGAGCTTTTAGATTTTTATATGTACATTATTTATAAGAAAAGTCATATTGATATGATAATTGTAACAATATGATTTTATCACATTTTTCATAAAAAAAATCGGGTAAATTATAAATAGACTTATTGAGATTTGCTTAAAGTACAGATTACTTCCCGTAATTTAAAAAATTACAAATATTCTCTTGTTAAAAAATTTTATTTAACAGAATTAACTAAAAAAAAAAATCATAATTGTTCTCCTATATAATAATAAAATAATCTAAATTATTAATTGAAACATATTTATAACATTGTTAAAAATTATTAATTGACTTGATAATTTATTAATAAAAGCGGCGATTTGTTATAAAATTAAAAACCTCAAGGGGTGGAATGTAATTTATAAAATCATAAGGAACGATTTGTATTTTAATCAAATATCATGGAATGTATTTGTAATTTACCTAAAAAATTAGATGAATTATTTTCAAAAGGCTGTAAACCCACAACCATACTATTAGAATATTAGATGTCATTTTATATAATTAAGAATGCATTGAGTACAGATAGATATTAAAAAATAATATAAAAAAAAAAAGAATGCTTCCCTCTAGTCCGTCTAGTCCGTGATAGATTGAAGGATACTGTTGGGCTCATGAAAGTTCACCACGGGTTCCGTTTCGATAATTCGAACTGTTTAATATGTAAAACTCGTCGAGTGCTATATGTCTATAAAAAATCACGTTGATCGGATATCGATAACTATGTGATCAAATCAATTTTGTATGAAAAAAAATGAACGGTGAAAAATAAACAGCTTATAAAAATCTGATTTGATCACATAGCTATCGATATCCGATTAACATAATTTTTTATAAACATATAGTACTCAATGAGTTGTACATATTGAAAAGGAAATAAGACCTATGATGAACTCTCACAAGTCTAGTAGTACACTTCAATCTGTCGGATTGGAGGAAGCCATTTCCTAAAACAATTTGAAGGCAAAGAACTCCCCTTTTTTTCTTTTTTTTGGGGGGTGGTTGGGTGGGGTATGTGATCCTAGCAGATCTGATACCAAAAGCTTTCTATTTGGTTTCGTTTGTAGAATACATTTTTTAAATTTTTTTTATACAAAAAAATGATAACTAATTTATAAAATAAATACTAAAAAGACTCTAGGTCGCCGTTTGGCAACAATTTTTTGCCTATATAAGCACACAAATAAATAAATAAATAAAAATAGATTAAATAAATCAATAAGACAAATGGGTTACGTAATCCTAGCAGACCAAAAGCTTTCTATTTGGTTTCATTTGTAGAATACGTTTTTCAGATTTTTTTTATACAAAAAAATGATAACTAATTTATAAAATAAATACTAAAAAAATATTTTTAAATTTTTTTAGACTCTAGGTCGCCGTTTGGCAACAATTTTTTTGCTTGAATAAGCACACAAATAAATAAATAAATAAAAATAAGCTAAATAAGTCATTAAGACAAATGAGGTATGTAATCCTAGCAGATCTGATACCAAAAGCTTTCTATTTGGTTTTGTTTGTAGAATACGTTTTTCAGATTTTTTTTATACAAAAAATTGATAACTAATTTATAAAATAAATACTAAAAAAATATTTTAAAATTTTTTTAGACTCTAGGTGGTGGCAACAATTTTTTTGCAAATAAATAAATAAAAATAGGCTAAACATGTCAATAAGACAAATGAATGTTTTGGGGAAGTGGTTAAAAATTATTTTTTTTATTTTTTTTGAAAAAAACTAGTAAAAAATATAAAAGGTGATATAACACAAAATAGGTTAAAAGTCAAAAAATAGCTTATAACTGCGTTCTTAAAATATTACATTCAAATCATGTCAATAAGACAAATGAATGTTTTGAGAAAATGGTTAAAAATTATTATTTTTTATTTTTTTTGAAAAAACTTAGTAAAAAATATGAAATGTGATATAACACAAAATAGGTTGAAAGTCAAAAAATAGCTTATAACTGTGTTCTTAAAATATTACATTCAAATCATAATTATTTCACTTTTTCTCACAACAATTACATCCAAACCAAAAAAAAAACTAAAATTTTTTCTCAAACAAAACTAATTTAACCAAGTTAAATTAGTCAAAAAATCAGGTTAAATTAGTTCTTTTTAAACAAAACCAAATTATGAATGTTGTTATTTTTAGAAGACAAAAAATTACATAAAATGATGAGTGTTGTTATTTTTTAATTTTCACCAAATTATTTTCTCATATTTAAAAAAAAAAATTATAAAATTAATTAGGAAACCAAACCAAAAAACATTTATTTTCTTTACAAATTGAGTAATACTACAAATCTATCCTCATTAATTCTGAAATTATCCAGAAATTAATTTTTACCATGCCCTACATAGTAGGGGTGAGCAGCGGATATACCGATTCGCCAAAACGACGGATGGCGGATTGGAGGTTTCGTGGCCGCAACCGACCCGCGTCCACCCCTACTACATAGAACTCACACCACAAATTAAATTACAGTATACAGTCACCCACTCAAATAATTCTAGATGGATAGATGTGGCTCCCAGACTTTCCCTTAAAAAATTTATGATAATAACATCAGATGCTCCTAAATTTTAGGTGAATGCGGCATTAAACAATGTTTAACAGTAAATCTGAATGGTAGTGAAGGACAAATTCGTCCATGAAGAAAAGAATCGAAACGCATTAATTTTTAATCTTGTCGTCATCGAAAACTATCAAAATCGGGTGGCTACCCCCATAAAGTCCATCAACCCAACCCGAACTCACCTCTCATTTCTTTCCCAACTGATCTAGAGAGAGAAAGCCCCAAACTCTCCAATCGAACCTCCCCCCCCTTCTCTCTCCTCTCTTCTCCATACACATCTTGGTCGATCCTCCGGAGATGAAGAGACCAGTCGACACCGATGACGATCCGGCCACCGGAAACGACAAGAAGGTGAAGAAAATCAAGCCGGAAGAGGAACCGGAGGCGGCGGAGAAACCGGCGATTGTGTTGATGGATGAGAACTTGCTGTACGAGGTTCTGAAGCACGTGGACGCGCGTACGCTTGCAACGGCGGCGTGCGTGAGCAAGCAATGGCACAAGACGGCGGAGGACCGAGCGGCTCTGAGCTGATCTGCACCAGGCACTGGCCAACATCGGCTGCGGCAACCAGCAGCTACGCGCCGTCGCCTCGCCCTCGGCGGCTTCCGCCGCCTCACTCCCTCTACCTCGGCCCCTCTTCAAACCCTCTTCTTCCTCTTCCTCCTCCGCCGCGTCGTCATCGACTTGGCCTTGTTTTCCGCCGAAGCCGCCCTCGGTGGTTCCGGCGAAACCCTCCGGCCGGCCAACCGCCAAAACTCGTTGGGAGAAAAGATGAGGTTCACTTGTCGCTGTCTCTTCTCTCAATTCGTTACTCACGAGAAGATGAACTTCAACAACGAGGCAAAGGCTTAATTTTTACCTCTGATTTAGCTTTGGGTTTTCTCTCTGACGGTGGTTCTAATTTTATGTTTTTTTTTTAAATTTATAATTTGCTTGGTATTTTTATGCAGGAGTGTATTAATTAATTAGATCTGTATCCTAACTACTAACGGATTGATTTCTTCGTTTCATGATTTCTGTTTAAAATTAGAAACATCATCATATATATTATTATGTATTAACTATGTAATAAATGTGATTTGCTGCATTTTTTTCCCACTTAAACTCGCCTCTTGATACCGTGTTTGGATATATTAGGAAAGTTGGGAAAAGTGTTTACTTTAGGTGGGCAATTTGAGTGATTGAGGGGCGTCTATGGTTCCTTTTTTTTTACACAAATTCGCCTCTGTCACTCAGCGATACTCGTGTTTGGTAGTAGGAAAGTAGAGAAAATGTTTGCTTTAGGTGGGTAATTGAGTGATTGGAGGGACCTTTGTATGGTTCCTAATTTATTACTAAAAATTCGCCTCTGTCACTCAGTGATACTCGTGTCGATGTTAGGAAAGTAAGGGGAAAATGTTCATGGCGTTTGAGTAATCTGTTGTTACTCAGTGATGCTCCGTGTTTGGATGTTAGGAAAGAAGGAGAAAATGTTTGCTTTAGATGATGGTGATTAATGTGCTTACTTGTATCTCTGCGCTGAGTGGGTGTTTCTGTTTAGATGTTAGGAAAGTAGGTCGAAAATGTTTGGTTTTAGGTGGGTAAATAGAGTGATTAGATTGCCGTCTTGGTTGATGCGCTTTGTGAGTCGATACAAACACACACACACAACCATTATGGAGAGTGGTGTTTGGTAGGGCCATGCTATTCTGACTTGCCTCGGCTTTATATGGCATAGGATAAGAAAGAGACAGAGAGATGAAATTGGTGTTTGTCTTGTTCTATTCTGTAAAAAAAGCCAAAAGTCTGACCCGAGCCTAGGGAGAACAGGACTTGTAATAAATGCTCATCATCACCAAAAAAAAAAAAAAAAAAGAGAAGAAGTCGGCATCGGGTCGGATCAACCATATCATGTTCACCTTGTCCGCAGGATAGTCGGGCTTTTATGGGTTGGTTGGGTAGGCTATTGACGGGTGGGTAAACGGGTTTGATTTGGGTTATTTTGATATCATTTTGTTTTATAATAGATGTATATAAAATGAGACATTGACCGATTAGTCTGGCTTGTTTGTCGTGTATTAAAAAAATCAAAAGTCATTATCCTATTTAAATCACATCACTTCTTACCCAATCCTTTAAATCTAACTCATATTTTAAAAAAAATTAAAAAGTAACTTATTTAAACATTCCAAATTACCCCTTAAAATCAAATTATGGATCAACTAGTTTATAAAATTATTTTAATAATACACAAGTCTTTATTTATGTAATTAAAACATATTTACTACTGTTTTTATAATATGGTCAATTTGAAGATTTTTAGATTCCCTTCTTAATTTAGTTGTTTATGTCATATTTAAAACAAAATATACTAACACTGTGTTTGTTAGAAAAATTTGAAAAAAAAAACTTAGAAATGAAAAAGAAAAAGATAGGTGAAATATAGAATAAATATATTACATCTCATTAATTTCATACATCTTTTTCCTTTCTTTTCCAATTCCTTTCGAAATTCCTAACTAAACACGGTATAAAAAAGTTTTTTTGTAGTCACATTACTAGTTTAGACAAATCACATTTCACATTCAATTTAATCCAAAAGTGTACATGTCCAATTTGGAAATCAACTCTTATGCCACATTTCAAAAAAACCACATTCTACATCAACTCATAAAAAAATGTAGCTTGTTCATTTTGAAAACAAAACCACATTCTACTTTTTGTAATCAATTTAGACAAACCACATTTCATATGCAATTTCACCCAAAATGAATAAGCATGCCATTATGGAAATCAACCTTTATATCACATTTCAAAAATCACATTCCACATACAATCTATCCAAATGTAGCATGCTCATTTTGAAAATCAAACCGCATCACACACATTCAATTTCACCCAAAATGTTGAAATTTTATTATGGAAATCCAACCCTCAGGCTACATTCCAAAATCACATTCCAAAACAAAAAGAGTCCAACAATTAATAAAGGCAAAAAGTCTTAACTTGAGGGGATTGACTCCATTTAACTTTCCCTCTCCATAACTTTACATACCCCTATTTTAGGCCTAATTCGGATCCGCACCAATATCTAAACTGTCTATTTCGTAAGTTTCGTAAATAAGGTCATTTATGAAGAAAAATGAGTTTCATCATAAAATTATAACCACAAGAACAAAAAAAATTATTTTATGAAGTGGATGGTTTGAGTTTAAAATCATATTGTCTTTCATTTTATAAATAAAATGCGATTTTTTTTTTTTTATTTATTAATTTTCAATGAAGCTCATTTTTTTGCATGGATAACCTTTATACGAAACTTACAAAATAACTGATTCAGATTTATCAGTGCGGGTCCAAATTTGAGCCTACAAGAGAAATATGGAGAGGTATGGACAGATAAAGTATTGAGAGGCGCTTAAAAAATGTTTCCAAATCAACAGAACTTACCATATATAGATTTTTAAAGTGAGATTTTTTAAGTAAAATTTTCTTTAAAATATCTACTGTTAAAATATTCAAGCTGATACATTCTAAAATTGACACATAAAATACTGTATAATTGAAAATTAATCAAATGATGCGATAAAAAAAGGTTAAAGTTAGGAATTGCAAGCCCTACAAAATTGTACATTCATTAGATTGGCACTGGATATCTTATAATTCATTTATATTTTAACTCAAAATTCATCAATTCAAAAAAATAAAAAAAAAAAAAACCTCTCAATAATTCAACAATCACAGTAATTGAAACTAAAATAGTATAATTATGTCATAAATATTATAACTGGGAAAAATTATACATGCACATTAGAGAGTTAGAATGAATAATTACCTTTTTCTATGGAATCGCTCGTATGATCCCTTTAATTGTGGTTGGCCCATGTGGTGTATTGGAAGATCCCTTTAATCGCACATATGATCCCTTTGGCCCTGTTTGGTGCAGCTTAAAAGGTGCTTATTTAAGCTTTCAGTTTAATTTAAGTTATTTTGATGTGTTTGATTTAGCTTATAGCTTATAACTTTTTGGAAGTCAGAAATCAACTTATTCTTTGAGTGGGGCAGGAGATGCTTAATTTATAAGTTAGAAATCAGCTTATGTTCATAGTTATAAGCTATAAGTTGTTTAAGTATAAGCTATAAGCTATAAGCACTTTCCCACAGCTCTACCAAACAGGGCCTTTATATGACTGGGCCTTATTGGAAGATCTCACTAGTTGGGAAGATTAGTCTTGTTGAAATGCCCTTGCATATTATTGTTAAAAATTAAAATTAACAGTTTATAATTTGACATAGGTGAGCCCATAAAGGATATGGCCCACCACTTAAGGCACAATTTATTATTCAAATACTAAAACCCAATATTCTTAAAACCCAACGTTATGCTAAGAACCAATGGCATCTAAACACTTGTCAACAGAAGAACTAGCTACATCAGCAGACAAAGATCCTGCAGAGTTATTGTACTACAAATCAGCCATTAAAGAAGTTTCCTGCAGCATTTATTACGATAACCCTTTCACGTCGGAACAGAACAGCCTCACCACGAACAAAGCAAGCTAGAACATAAACTTTCGGCCAACATGACAGCTCGGAGTGGACAAAGAAATGATGAGCAAAGGATATAAGCAGGTTTCTAAGACAAAGAGAATGTTAAGTTCTCTATCACCATCCTATCTCTACATTTCATCACTCTCACTTCTCTAACTTGCTCGTCAGAAGGTTCGCTGGGGGACTCCCCGTTCCCAGTTGAACTCTTGTGCAGGTTTCTCTGTGGGCTCAACAATCGAACAACGGTTTGGGAAGTATGGATCAACTCGACCCATTCCATCAGGAGTTAGCAGTATCATCAGCTGGCGCCATCTGTGGGAACTTTTTCGCTCCGTGTGGCAACTGTGCTCATTGTCGCCAGAGACCCATTCCCGATAATCGCTACCTGCCACCCACCAAGGTGGATGGTCACAACCAGATCCATGGTTTCTCAACACAACGTTGCCGACTCCCAAGCCGACCCTCCTAACCCAAACAACTCACCGCAGTATTTCACAGAACTCACCAACAGCATTAACCGCTTAGCCGAACAAAACCAAGCCCTGATCAATGCTTTGCTTCAAAGAGACCTTCCTATGCCTCCTTGTCACGACCCAAACCCGCTCCTATGGGTTTAGCACTGTAACCGGCCAGTAATCCGAGATTACCGAAGGCCTACTTAATAGTCTTGAACTTAGGACATAAGGTAGAGAACTTCCCTTCTTGATCATGAAATTTAGTAGATTCTTGCATGGTACATGGTAATTGAGTGAGTTGAGTCAAGAATTGGATTAAATTGTTGAATTGGGGCTTGATTCATGCATGGATGTGCATATCTTGAAATTTCGAGTTGTTTTTATGGAAATTATTGCATGCATGTCCATATTATTGTTATAATCCATGAATTCATCATGTTTTTGGAAGTTTAGACTCAGTTGAGCTTGCATTGAGGCTTTGAATTTGGTTGAGCACTTGCATGTTATATTTGAGTCTTGTTCTTGATGTTTATTTGAAAATTGTGCTTTAATTGAACTACCTTTGGGCTTTGATTTCTCAAATTGATCTTTGAAACATGTCATACTATGGGTTTAAAGTGTTTTTCCAGAAAATGGGCCCAAGAGGTTGAGTTTGATGCATTAGAGTTGAGTTTTGAGCTTGAGGTTCAAATCTGGGATTTCTAGAATTTGGACTCAAACTCGAACGGGGGACTCCACGCTCGAGCGTACAACCTGTGTTCATGCAGTCCGCTCGAGCGGGTAAAGTGACGCTTGAGCGGGAAATGCGTGTATCCAGTATTTTGCATGTGTTTACAGTCCGCTCGAGCGGGGGAATGCACGCTCGAGCGAGGACTTGTGTCTCACGCTCGAGCGGGTATCAAGTGCCCATCGAGCGTGAATTTCGTGCATCCAGTACTTTTGTCATGTTTTGCAGTCTGCTCGAGCATGGAAAGTGACGCTCGAGTGGGGATCCTTTGTCTGCATGTCCGCTCGAGTGTAGATACCCGCGCTCGAGCGGGACCCCTATTTTCTGAAAATTCTGAAAAGTGTTTTAAAGTGAATC